CTCTCTCTCTCTCTCTCTCTCTCTCTCTCTCTCTCTCTCTCTCTCTCTCTCTCTCATCTACATACATATGCATGTTCGTCGCATGCATCCGTCGCATGTCGTGAGCAGCTTTTCTTATATCCATTGTATGTTGTACGCGATCAGCGTTTATGATCGTCTTGGTTGTCTACTGGCGCCTTCGTGCGGTATGCTTGCAGTTTTCAGTGTGTCGACACAGCATTAGACTGTGATTACAGAGGATCAAAAATGATTTGACACGCACCCGGTAGTTGCTGGTTGGACTAAGTGTTCCGACCACCCCCTCACAAATTTGGATTTTTGAAAGAAATTCGACTTGGGTTTTGTGGTTTTTATCAACTGAAATGCCATCTTAAGTGTTGCAGTCTCCAGCATTTTTTCGTTGCATTTAGGTGTTAGCTACATGGGGTTGTGCGCTGCCCGGTAAATTCGTTATCCGCTGAGCGCATGGCCAGCCATTCGGGGGATCCCAGGAACGGTTCTCGGCGATCTGACGAAATGTCGCAGATGCGATACGACCACTGCCCGTGCCTGCCGTAGATCTAGGTCTGGCGACTTCGGAGCCGATACCGTACAACAATAAAACATGCGCTCATATGATCCAGCTGGTCATGTTTGATTTCCATGGAGATCTATTTAACACGGGCACCTTGAGAAGTATGCCTGACTATTACCTTTCATCCTCTGTAGGTCGTGTTTTAACACGGCATATAATTAATGTTCTTCTACCTCCCCATGCCTTGATTTATTAGACGATGATGTTCGAAAAGAAATATTACACAAAGCCGTGAAGTCATATAAGCATTACGAAGTATCCAAGACTCTTCTATTTGTCCCAGTTTTGATTAATTCGATGATCATCTTCGGCAGAAAGGAATGTTAGACAACAAACGAAGTCGTACACACACACACACACACACACACACACACACACATATATATATATATATATATATATATATATATATATATATATATATATGTGTGTGTGTGTGTGTGTGTGTGTGTGTGTGTGTGTGTGTGTGTGTGTGTGTGTGTGTGTGTGTGTGTGTGTGTGTGTGTGTGTGTGTGTGTGTGTGTTCGGGGCATGACTGCACATTTATTGTGTTATATTCCGTCCAGATGAACATCTTCGATGATGATCGGTAAGAAGACGATCAGAACGATTGTTTCGTTTTTGTTTAGTATTGCAAACGTCAATTTACGTTGCCCAAATTCTAACCTAACTCGATTTATGGCCGCCCTGCATGCCTGAGCCTGGCTTTCAGACATGCAAGGCCCAAACGAACTATACCCAAGCCTCGTCGCGATCATTAAGCGCGTCATAAAAACTGTACTGACTGTACGTCCGGCCGAGCAAACTATGCATACTGAATGGTATTTGATGTCGAATTCCTACTTTCAACGATGATTCATGAAAGCATGTTGACATTTTTACCCATCGTTGTTGACAATCCTTTGGAAAAGGAACTGTACGTTAATAAAACAGGGAGCACGCCAACACCAGCGCGTGCAGTGATGGCGCCGCCTCCGCTCACAGCTTCACCTTCCCACCCGCCGGTGACCCGCCCACATTTCGCGGCAGCACCAAAGCCTGGCCGAACCGGAAACGCAGCTGTGCGTGCGGCCGGCCCGTGACAGGAGCCGTGGCAAGCCGTGAGAGCTTTGCGCAAAGCCGTCACGGCTTTACGCAAAGCCGTCACGGTCGCGGCGTGCCGCCCGCTCAGCCCGGCTCAGCGGCGGCGCCGGCCGCTGCCGCCGCGTGTCCGGTATGGATCCAACAGTTGGTCGCCTCGCGGCGGACTCCAATCAATGGCGCCACAAACGACGCCCGCGTCGGTCGCGCCCAGGGCTCCGTCGATGTGCCGCCGGGCTGAGGTCCGGTGGTCCGGCTCAGGCTTGTGTCCAGACGTCGGGCTGAGTTCCGGATGTCAAATTCAGGATCGGGTCCAGCTGCCAAGTTCCGTCGATCCGACTCAGGCTCATGTCCAGCTGCCGAGGTCTGGAGGTCCGACTCAGGTTGTGTCCAGTCGTGGCCACTACCACTGTCGAAATGAGCGATGCCAGTAGGAGCTGTGGCTACAGTGGCATTATTATAATGAAAATCATCATCGCTTTGCATAAGTGTCATGAAAGCATCAGCGCCGCTTCCGGGCCTGTTTTAATTTTGATCAGTATTAAAGCCAATTGATGGTCATAACCGCCCTTTATTTTGTTATTTACACGACTACAACTGTTCTTAGAAACCCACTTTATTATCCGTGTTTGTGGTGCTCATAATCAGCATCGTTTTCACTGTCATTATAAACGTTAGGTACTTTGCATTTTCGTTAAATCTCATCGCCTTTATAATCATAAAATCAGCGTCGTACTGCGTCGTAATCTCCTTGCACGTCAGCGCTAGACTTAATTACGGTACACTGTGGAAAATTTGAGGATATTTAGGCTTTCATGAGATAAAGACAGCTGTGAATAAGTGCACTGAATTCAACAAGTAGGCAACTCGTTTTTTTATCATGTTTTTCATAATGCAATTTAACTGATGTCTTGGCGTTATCAATACAGAATTATTACGCATCTCACTTGACTGTGTACTGCAGACCTGACATAAACAAGGTCAAGTAACTATGGGACGGTCGTCTGCCCTCACCTGCCAACACGTGGTGCTTAATATTCCGGGATGTTGCATTGCGCAAATGCACGTAACTGCCGACTTTGAATATAATTCAGCCACGGTTTTGCATTTATCACAGCTGCCACGGACTCAAAGTTAGGGTGTATACCTACAGGTGTCAACTGATCAAACTGTCAGATAAAAGGTGTCAGGTCATCAGATGGTCCAGATGAAATGTGTCGACTGATCAGGCGGTCCGGATGAAAACAGTCACGGCATCTCTCAAACCGCCAGCTCTTTCCCCCCCCCCCGTCCTGTCACCTTCCTCTCCGCTTAATCTGGCGTGCTTACTCTGGCATGCTCTGGCATACTCTGGCATATCGGAATACTCTGGCATAATGGGGATGACACACCTGTCGATGTTTGGGACGTCTCCTGAACTGCTACATGAAAAGCGACAACACACACAGCACTATGGTAGGCAGCCTTTCAGCAGGTGTCCTGGAGACGCCAGCGTAACAGTCAATACCTCGTGAGAGTTCCCTAGACCGTCAGGCGACGAGGACTTTTCAGGTCACGTTATTGCATAGTTACGTCACTGTAACTACCACAACTGCCACTACCATCGTGGTTTATAACGCCCGGCAATTATCGCGCCGCATTTGTCACGTTCTCGGTAAGCTTCATGTCACGTGAATCATCCATGAACGCTTCAATGTTCCGTGGTAGCAATGCGCTTTAAATTGACGACGCGAGGAGTTGGTTACTTGTGCTACATGCGGGTGAGAACAATCCAAAGGACGTCCTATATCTGACGTGAAATTATTAAATACTGATGGTCCTAACTTGACTTGTATTTTTTTCTAAACGGCCACCCGCAGCCCGGCGTCCAGCCCGATCAGCGAGGAATCTGGCAGCAAAAGCTCGCTGTGCCACCGTGCTGAAACGGTATTTAAGACAGTGGTATTAAGTTTAGCGCAATACACATTTTGCGTTTTTTATCAGCTAAGATGTTTACTGAAATATGTATCAGCCCTGTGCTATCAGTGCCGTCTCTTATATAACGATGTTTTTTGGTGCCTGTTAATCGTGGGAAGTCTAATCAGCTCATTATACCGCACACACGCACGATGTACGATACCAGGAAAGCGGAGATATTTGGAAATTGCCAATGTATTTAAACATCTTCACTCTGCCTGATTCACGGCATTCGAATACGTCACAATAGCCGCAGTGTCATAAGCCCAATCCTGGTTGTTGAAGTGCGTGCATAAGGCCGTCTGTTCAGGTAAAGCTCACGCCGCTACTTAAGCCGCAATTACGACCGACGACTGATGACCACCGGTATGTGGTCATGTCATGGGAGCAAAGGCTGATAGGCCCTGGTCATGGGAGCAAAGGCCGATAGGCCCTGGTCGTGGGAGCAAAGGCTGATAGGCCCTGGTCATGGGAACAAAGGCGGATAGGCCCTGGTCGTGGGAGCAAAGGCTGATAGGCCTTGGCCATGGGAGCAAAGGCCGATAGCCACGATGTTATCATCTTTAGATAATGATTTCAGTCATCCGGCGTCGTCTGTCTGGACCAGCGCGAGAGGGATCGACTTCTTCCGGTAGCGTCGGCGCGGGTCGGACCGGCCCACCGCCAGGTGGCTGGGTGGGGCGCGGTGCCGTTCAGGGGCCCCGCTACGGTCTCTTCAGCGCCGCGCGGATGTAGAAAGCGTACCCAGGTCGTATATACTCATACTTTATCACCATTTTCTCGATATGTTCAAGCGTAAAGATCGCTTGGACTTATCGAATTTTTTTCGTTCGAACGTTCCGTTTAACTTTATTCAGTAAGTTAAAGATCAGTTTACCGAAATGGGTTGACAGATATGTTATGTTTTATCGATCCATTTAACTGGTCGCACTTATTGATTAATGGTGCCACCATATAAGGCGTCAAAGTAACCAATGGCCCAAGATGGCTAAAACGGCAGGAGGGCAATGGAGCGTCACGTTTATGACATAGCATTTACATCACGCAAGACGACCTTAGACGTAAGCAATACGAAATAGCTACCGTTGGGTGTTGAAAGTAATTGTCTTACGGGCAGTGACAAGGTATAACAAGTTATATGATTTTTTGGTGAGCGGCTGAGCCTCCCAATGCTGGCTTGATGCCCCGCGTTCCTTTAAGTCGCCCCCTCCCCCCCTCCCTCTTTGAGTTCCGTTGAGGAGAAACACGCTTTGATTTCGACTGGCCAAGATCTGGCTACCAAGCGCCAAACAATGCCGATGACGTCTTCGAGAGGTCAGGGTGGCCGGCGCACTTCCTGTCCCAACAAGCGTTGAGCTTCGCCCTAACACCGGCACACTTCCTGCCACAGCGAGCGCTGGGCTTCGCCCCAACATCGACGCGCTTCCCGCCCCAACTCTCCAGCATCTGCAGCGTCTGCGACAGCTTCTCTAACACATTAACCTCTGCGGCAGCCGAAGTGGGCGGTGGCGGCCACAGCACCTGCACGCTCTGACCGGGCGTCGGGTGAGCTGACCTGACCGGGTCATGCACGCCGGGCATGCGGCCCAGGTTGCCAAGGTCGTGCTCGACCAGCGGCGGCGCAGCAGGCAGCACGCGCCGCCCGGCAAAAACCCGCCGACCGCCGGCTACTTCTCGGCGGCGCTGGACACGCCCCTGCGCCGGCCTGACACGCGGGCGTCACTGCAGGTGGGTACCTCTGACCTAGTCCGGCTAGGTCACCCGGGAATCAGAACGTTATTATAAGGCGGTCACCTTGAAACTGTGGCTACATTTTGGTGCGGATGTCAAACGCGCTTTTTCAAAGAAAAGAAGATTTCACTTCTTTACAATGATGTGTAGATGGCTGAAGTTGTAGCGCTCTTTTAGCTGCTATTTAACAGTGAGTTTTAGATATATATTTAGCACAAGCCGCAAAACGTAGCATTATTTCAGAAACACTAACGGGTTTTGTGCACAAAGCGGCTGGATTCGGATGGTTCGGTGAGTTCCAAACGGTGCACACGCACGGCATGTGTGCATGACCTGCTGGCTACCGCACTTGGGATACCTTCATAACCATTCCGGCGTCGGTATTCCATTGGGCATGGCTAAATAATGTTTCTGCCATGGTTACATAATGACAATGAAAATTTGAGCTGATAGGAGTCCATAGAAAAGTTGCAACATTCCTTTTCTGTAAAAGCGCATGCCAAGCTACAGTGTGTGAAGAACACCGTAGGTTTCTATGAAATGTTTGAGGCGTGACATTAGCACAGCTACCCACAGTGGGATTGGAACAATTGGACGAGATGGACTAGGCTGTGATGTACGTAAGGCTGTATCCTAAACATGTCCAGGTCCTTCTCGGGACCCACTAGCGCCTGATGACGGTCGGATGACTTACCGCTCGAAACTTTGTGTGAGCGATAATACCGGGTCCTAAAATAGTCCGATTCGTCAAGCCGTCCGTCCAGACCATCTAGATTGAGCGGACCATTGGCAAAGGACCCATTGCTTCTCGATCGCGACAGTTATGACGATAGTTTGCTGATCATGATTACGTGGACTCGAAGCTCAAAACTACCGGAAACATTTTAACATGTTGCACATGCATGTCTATACAGTCAGTCGTCCAAATCTGTTAACATCCTGGCTTCGGGAAGAATTTTTGTTAAAATATATCGCATTGAATGGTAATTTTCCCATCCCATCTTGATCCCTAGAGCCTTTGCATGACTTTTGGTGTGAAAGTATCAACAAATACTACAACACTTCTGCACCAACAAATAAAATGAATTCGCTGGTGCCTTGCCGCTGCCTAGTACGCGGACGGCGGCGAAGCGTTCGTTGAGAGCGTTAAAAACACTCGAATCGCTTTTATTTAAAGCGGTACTGAAAATAATTTAAGCAGCGTCTTCAGCCCTGACCGCGATGCGCTGATATCCGATGATGACTGGTACCTCTGCCGTGGACTTGCTTTAGCCACTACGCATTAGGCAGCCAAGGCCCGGAATGTAAGTGTAATGCTTTGTAACCTTCGCCAGGCACGTCACATGACACCCACGTCCCGTCTACGTCCCACGTCCCACGTCCCACAAACACCCACGTCCTGTCTACGGAAGCGTATGCCCTCAGGTGCGAAGCAAAAAGCTAGCACTTAAAAAAGGACACTTGTTCTCGCCTGATGCATGTCACTCCCTCGGTCCGTAGTTCCAAAACCTTCCGGCGGTGGCGCTGCGAGCGCGCCATTCAGCCGTGCCTGAGGCCACTGGCTCAGCGTGCGTGGACCAAGTGTCGTGGACAAGAGTACGGCGATCTGTTCGCCGAATGGGCTTTGGTTCAGTGCGCTGACGCTCGGTGGGCTGCCGTCCAGTGGGCTCTGGTCCCATGGGGCTGGGCTCTGATGGACCTCTGGCGGTGGGTATCAGGCTAGTGGCCTCGGGGTTGGGGCTCGGTGGGCTGCTGCCCAGTGGCCCTGGTCCCATGGGGCTAGGCTCTGATGGGCCGTTGGCGTTGGGCATCAGGCTGGTGGCCCTGACCCTGAGGTTCGACGGGCTTGAATCCAGTGAGCCGAGGCCGGGTGAGCTTCGGTTTGGTGGACTCGGACTGGGTCTGATGAAGCTCTGAGGGCTCGGCTCGCATGAGCTGATGTCTCGTGCTGATGACGAGTATTAGGGTCACAGCACGTCCTCCACCATCCTGCGTGCGGGCACGCTGCCATGTGCGACGACAAACCACCTGGTCCACACAGCGCATGCGCGCCTCATGCACGAGCAATACTGACCGGCATCAGGCGCTGAGCGGCACTGACCGGCACAGGTGGTCTTTTTGTGTGTCAGCGGCCAAAATGGACAATTTTGAGCTCTGTTGACACGCAGGACACAACGTTCATGAGCCACATGCTCCGCGCGTCTGCGCTTCTGGTAAGTATGCTTGTCGTGACTGCGTCGAATACGCGTCGAATGGTGTATCTTTTTGCATGATAAAACAAGAAAGACTTTGAAGCTCCTAGCTTTTTGACATTATTAGGAGCTAGGAGTTTGCATGCCAAAAATAATTAGATAAATGACCCACAACATACCATGGCGTATTGCTTAAATCATGTTATCAAGTACGCGATTGTTGTATTGAGAAAACTCGTTTGAAAGCGGCCACCATGGTCACAGGTTAACGGGGCTGAGCAAAGGAAAATCACGTTAACGACATAGAACATGTGGAATACGGAAAGAAACTGGTCCCGAAACTGTGCAGATACTGCCGTCGATAATGCAAAATATGAGGTTCCACAAAGGGCTGCATGAAACGCACGTGGATATGCTGGAAAGTGGCGATTACCTCTACAGAGTATGAGGTTGGAAAATTACCTATCGCGAACATCTTGCATCACGAACATGCACGTTACGCATGCGAACATGCACGTTTCGAACATTCCATCCATTCAGACTCCCGCCTCCTAACACCCGACACATGGTGCTGTGCTGGGGACTGTCCGAAAGACAAGCGGCTGACCAGAAATGTCTCGATGACTCGTACCGAGTAAAAGATAAGGAAGAGACTTGTCAGCGCGCATTAGTGTCCATTGCAGTGGCCATGTAATTACCTCTAGTCATGGATAACTTAAACAAAGCCACCCAAACCGAGTCTCAAGACAACATTCGCGTGGTTAACCTCGCACAAAAATATGGCCGTTCGTTGATTTCAATATGTAAAGATTCGTGTGTCTCGCAGTAAAGCAAAAATTGAACGCCGCACTGTTTGTTCGCAGTACGCACTATACACTGTATTATTTCCTGGTATACTTTGCTTCACTGCCGCGAGTTAGCCTGCCATGTAGTCCAACCTCCTTGTGGCGTGTACTTTCTCCCAAAAAACATGTTTCCGAGGTTTTCATTAAACCGGTCACGAATGCTGCCTTTTGCCTGAATGCCTTTTGTTGTTTTTTCTACACGCAAAACGAAACGAAGCGTTAGTGTCACCTGCAGCAAGGCGATATCAAAACAAAGCGTAGTGTTCGTGACCAGTTGATTGCACACTTCGGAGAGGCATGTTGACGGAAAACGTTCACACCGGTAGGTAAACACACAGTAGACCAACACGCGGCAGTGGAGCATGGTGCGACAAACACCAATTAACAGTGGCTGTTTGCACGAAGGATTACAGTGCAAAACTTTTTAAAACTTCCACATTACGAACTTTAGAGCGTTTTTTTCTAACCACACGCAGCTGTAATCTGCGATTTTCAGTTATAGATTTTCCGCAGTAATTTCAACAATGTTTGTAAATGCACGTACTCTGATGAAATTGCGTTTGGCTGGCTATAAGCAAGATCATGCTGTGATGGACAAGTGATGCGCCAGATTTCCTCCTACTAACACTTTTCAGAACATTTAAATACATTCGTGGCATCTCTGACGCAGACGCGACAAAGCGAAGCTCTACATCCTCGTAGCGTCCTGGTTCATATGAATGCAGTGCCTCAGATCTCCCTTACAGCACTTACATTACAGTACCGAGGGTGATTAAGTATTCTGTGCGTTTAATAAGTATTAATAAGTACCTTAATAAGCATTCTGTGCGTTTTCTTTGATCTTACTTGCAATCACAGTACCTATTGAAACCAAACTGATCAGCATGGAATCCAGCAGGATCGTCATGGCTTTGAAGAGCATGTATTGGGAATATCCTTGCCCTAATCTTTGCAGTCGTCTGCGCCGATCAAAATCCAGGCGGGATTATTTGAAACCTTTCTGCCATTTCAAGAACAGCCGAAAGAAGTATCGAAAAAATGAAGTTTTTCCGTTTCTCGTTGCCTTTTTCTTTTTGCGATTTACAAATGGCTGCTTCACGACAGATGTATGGAGCCCCTTACGGTCCACCTGACGTCTGTCATACTGCCACAGCCGAAATCAGACGCAACCTACTGACAAAGGAACGGTTTCATGGAGGGGGTTTGTTGTCACTGGCGATATCGCACGGTCACTGGAGGTACTGACCCCCCCCCCCCCCACCCCCCCCCCCCCCCGAGTTAACGTTTCAAAATGGACCCTGGCACTATCTCAACTCAAAACCGTGCACAGAGAATGACAGAACGCGCACCCCTGCGCGGCTCTTCGGGGGCGGCCCTCCCGACCCACGAGTGACTGATGGCCCAGTGCGCTGTCGTCTGCCGGGCGGTGCGGAGCGGACGGTCGCCGGGGGGGGGGGGGGACGGTGGACGCCGAGCGAGCCACCGGTCGCCGCTTCTGTTTGTGCTGCGGATGGGCGACCGGTTCGATCTGCCCGCAGCGCGCCAGCCGACGGCGCCGGCCCGCCAGAGGTCACTGGCGCGCGCTCGGGTCACCGCGGCCGACGAGGCGCCGCTCCGTCCGGGTCAGAGGTGACATTGAGCGCCGGGGTGTGGTCAGAGGTGACTGTGAGCGCTGAGGAGGTGGTCAGAGGTGACAGCGAGCGGTGGAGAGGTGGTGAGACGTGATAGTGAGCGCTGATGAGTGATTAGTGGTGACAGTGGACAGT